TTTAAAGCTTTCAGCCTTATGCCTCCCTGGTCTTGGATTTGGTATGGCTTTCTTGTGCTAGATTAAGAGACATGTTGTTGCAGGCGTATAGCTTTGTTGCCCTTCCAGCTTTCACATTATCTGTCCTTGAGACTGGGGACAAAGACCTTTAGCAAAGCCCTACAGCACTGAAGCAGTCCTTTCCTCATCAGACTAAAGCACATGAACTCCTCTGTAGTTCTAGGGACTAATAAAGCAGCTTCAGCAGGCTGGAGCATCTGGCTTTCTACATATTTTCCTTTAGCACTTCCACCAACTGTTGTTTGCTCATATCTACTGGATTCTGTTTATATAGATTTTGCCCAATCTGCTCTTTCTGGTAATGTTCATATTGTTGTGTGTTTATGTGAAGAAAAAAAAAATGTGCTGAGATATTTATGTGATCTGAAATGACTTAAACTGAGATGATCTTGATCCACACTGGAAGCTCAAAGCACAAAAATATGAGAACTGAAAAAAAAAAAAGAAAAAAAACTTGCAGGGCTCTTTAGGTTAGTCAGACTGTTTGGAAAGACAGGCATAAAATAATTAGTACTAATCTTCTATGTGAATATTGCAATCTGTAAATGAATTCATTTCCACAGCATCTGTGTAGTTAGAAACTAGATAACACTTCTTGTAGTATTTTTAGATGGTTTTCAGATATTACTATGGCTCTTACTCCCATGTCCATTATACTGGACTTAGTGTGGAAATAGGTCTGCTTCACAGAATTAGGATAACATGTTTTTGGGTAAGTGAAAAGGAATCAGCCCCCTGACTTCATTAAAAAAAAAAAAAAAAAGAAAATAGAAACTGAAATCAAAATTCTTGCCCATAAAAATCACCAGGTAGATATATCGTGCTATTCATTTTGATGGGAGCTTATACAGTTGTTCTTCAAGATAATGTTCTGTTTGTATAGTAAAAGTATTCTGGCCTGCAGGAACAGTTCTGGTACCAGATATATATGACATATATGTCTGTTGTACTGAATTAGGTGGTAAACTTTCCAGCATAGGTAGGATGAAAGCAAGATTAGACATAAACCAGCAAAACCAAGGTGTGTAGCAGGGTCAGGATCAGACACTATGGGCTGGGTCCTGCAAAAAGTAATTGCAAGATTGATAGTGGCTGCAATCTTGGACCAGGTGCTCTATAGAGAAGTAACTCTGCTGTGTTATCCAGAGAGTGTTTTAATGATCAAGGCCATTTGATCAGCACAACCTTCACTAAGAACTAGCTTGTCTATATTTTATTCAACTTGCCTCCAAAATAAGTAAAAAAAAACCTCTTCCACAAACGAATGGACCAAACTTGTTAGCACTTACTGCAAAATGTAATGGCACTCTGTGGAAATATTCCTGCTATGCAGTAGCTACAAGTGGCCTAACTTCTCACATGTAGGCTCTTGCAAGTTCAAATGGAAAACAGGGAGCCCCTAGAAACAATCCTATTCCCAAGCAGAAAGAGGAGAGCTAGGTTTTGTATGTTTAGAATCATTTGGGTCTGAAACCAAGGCACTAGAAGATATTTTCTTTTAACACATCCTACTTTGCTGAGGCACATGGCAGTCCAGTAGTCCCTGAAAAGCCACAATGTGAGGGAATCACAGAGCTGAGTAGGAGTCAGGAGTCCCAGCTCTTTGCTCTAAGCAGAGGCAGTGGAAGCATAAAATACCAGAGATGGATCAGTGTCTATCACTAATAGCCTCAAAAAAGCATGAATGAATTTCTAGAATGGGAGAAGTTGGCATCCCACAGAGTCAAAAAGTAATGGAGTAGTTCCAGTGAAGGACTGGGGTTTCCCCAATTCTTCTGAAAGCAAAATTTCCCAATGTTTCCCAGTGATTTTTTTCTACAACTGCCCAGCCTTGACACCTACCTTTAGTGGTCCTCATCTTTACCAACAAGCCAAAAAGCCATTTTTTTTGTTTTCTAAACAAAAATCTCTCCATCCCTTCACATACATGCCACAATGTAGCCAATACCTACCTCCATTAGAGCATCCCATCATCCTGAACACGATGCTGACAACCCTGCAACAATTTATTACTGGACGTGGGTGTTTTTCTACTAAGGAAGCAAAAATCAACAATCTTGGCATTCTGTTTTTAAATAATAAATAGAAAATATTTATTTTACAGCATTTTCAAGATCATTTTGACAAAAAGGCAGTTTTCATCAAGCATTTGACAGACCAAAAGAAAATACTTTTACAGGAAGCTTCATAGCTCATACAACTACATACACGAGGTGAGTTCTTGCTCTTTATATATATTTATGTATGTGTATGTTCTCAGTTTTAACAATTACAAACTAAGAGTTAAATACTAAATCTCAAGAAAACTACCCATGATATAATTACATTGTAGTAATAAAGTCAGTGCTTAATATGTTCAAAACAGACAGCTATGAAAACTACAGTACCTTGCCATATTGCCATCTCCCTGACTATATTAGCCTATTATGTTTTTTTTCTTATATGCCTCATTTCTTCAAAGACTGTACTTCCTAGTACTAGCCCTGTGCTTTTTGGAAACAGCCGAAAGCATCTTATACTAAGATTATAAGAAGATAAAATTCATTGCTAATGTGGTGATCAGCAAAGAAAACATTGCATTTTATCATTGCTTCAATACATAATTAGCATTAAAAAAAGAAACTAACAACAACAAAATCCCCAAAGCACCAAGCAGACAAAAATCAACCAACCAACCCCCAGGTGTTTTTAGTTCATTATAGAGCATCAATCTGCCAACAAAAAACAAAAATGTAACTTTGGGCAAAGTCAGTTCATGCTTTCCACAGTGGGATGATGATAACAATTGGCTACTTACTCTGAAAGTAACAAACACCATGAAAAGAGGATCAGGAATAGAGATTACATCTGATTTGGGACAGCAGCCAGACCTTCCAACACCTCTACTGTATATTAAAGTAATCAAATTTGGATCTTAGGAGAAAACATGACGAGTAGCAACAGAACTTTTTAAAATACAAATGGAAAGAAAGAAAATGAGTAGACATATAATGAATTCAGAAAAACTCTGACAGAAATTACACAATGAGCATGATTAAAATTCATTTTTGCAACTATTTTAACATGAAAAGATTCATTTGGAAATAGTGCAAAACAAAGTGTAAAAATAAGGGACAGATCCTCAGCTAAATTCAGCAGCACTATCAAAGTTCACAGCAGCTGAAATGCTGTCCTGAATACATGTCATATACACATATAAGGTAATAATAAATATAATTAAGTTCAAGACAGAGCAATTAGATCTGGACTTTGAACATGCCACCAGGGAGTGTTTGATTAGATCCATTTCCAGGAAATATATGAAAGTCAGAGGAGGAAGAAGGAATGATAGAGCTACTACTGCCTAGAAGTGACTTTTAAGATAACAAGATTGTCTATTTAATCGAAGAATTCAAAATGTGTAGATAGAACACACAACTAAACATAATAAATAGATTAAAAGAACAGTTTAGAACAAAATCTGCATATTTATGTACACATTAAGCACTGATGAAAATTCCTGCCTGGACATAATTTTACTTTTAATTATCAGAAGCAACTAAATAGTTTTGATACATTTTCCTGTCTCACCTGTATAGATTTATACTGGCAAGCACAAGATTTCTAAAACAGACTTCTTTTTTGTTTTCTTTTTTGTTTTTTTTTTTTTGTTTCTTAACCACACTTGCTGCAAACACTTAAAGTAACAAGTTCTCAATGCACTAGTTATTAGTAGCATATGTCTACTTCATAAAATATTTGCAAAATAAAGCACCCTGTTATAAGGGTAACAATTGTCTGAGCTTTATATGAAAAAAAAAGATGTGGTAGCACAGCATACAAACCTCCAAAGATCTATTGAATATTTGTAACAATGCGTTATAAAACATGATTGAAACATAAAAATATTCATAGTATATTCATAAGACAATCTTCCAGCGGTAGTTATTAGACACTACAGTTCACACATACTGTACACACGCAAACGGGGACGCAAACGTTCGCTCACTCTCTTGCTTCGAGATCGACTCGGTAACACCCGATAGGGAATTGCCTTTGCTTCAGAGTCGTGGTGGTTGCTCTAAGTAAGTTGCTCTGCTTCCCAATGTACTTGATTCAAAAGTAACACAAAGTAATGATGTCATCGCATGGCAAGTATATTGTATTATGAAAAGTTCGTCAATAAATATTGTTCCGCTACAGTAAATGTTGTGTAACAGTTTAGCCACATGGTTTACCATCCTATACAAAAGGGTGTTCTGTTAAGTCCTTATCACATCACAAATACTACAGAAAGGAGTTTTCCCAATAGCCTCTCAAGTCTCAGCTTGATAATAATCACAAAAGAAGGCAACCTCTCATCACTACCACCACCAAAAGCAGTCTAATATGAAGAATGAATCATTTAGACAAAAATCTTTAAGAGCCATATGCATTCATGTGTTCCTCTTACCCCAAAATATTATACACCATTATACCAGCTATAGAAACCAGAAAAAAAAATCATTTATGCATATATGTCTCATATACAAATAGCTCCATTTCTTCTTGTCACAGTTGCCTTCCTAGCGCCGGGATTTGTCGCTTCTGTAGCAGACGGATTACAGTCACAAGATGTGCTAATGACTCCTCTGCGGTCACACTTCCCAGAGTCCTTCTCAAGCATTGCCAAGAGCGGGTGTGACTGTGACTTTTTTTTTTCTGTGTGTTTATTCTTTTTTTTTTTGCTATAGAAATTGTCTATTGGGTTTGTGCTTTGTTAAATTTTCCTATCGTCTTCTCAAAGTACAATATTTTTAACAGATAGAGAATGTTGAGCCCTCAGAATGGATCTTTTTTTTTTTTTTTCTTTTTAAAGTTCAGAAAAAAAGTTTTTGCCCTGTCATATGTCACTTCACTTTGTGCTTCCTCCCTCTCCCCCATCTTTGGGAGACTTTTCCCCCCAGGATCTCCCAAAGGGCAGCTGCCAAACTCCTCCTCGTCCCATCTTGGCAACATCCGTGCTCTACAGGGTGGACGAACTTTGCTTGTAATCCCTCAGGATGACAGAGGCATAGGTCATGTCTGGGGGCGTGCAAAGCACCGATTCTGACACAGGGGAGCTGGGCACGGAGCTGCCGGAAGCCACCGAATCCCGGAAAGGGGAAGGGGGCGTCAGTGCCGGAGAGTCTTCCAAAGTCAGTTTGCTGGTTGCTGGCTCATCCTCATCCTCCTCATCCTCTGTGCTCTTCTCATAGACGTAGCCCTGGATGAGCTTCAGCTTCTCGCTCTCTGCGTCCTCGGCCGGGGGGGATGCAGGTTCCTGGCTGAAGACCTCTGGGATCGAAGGCGGTGGGGGCTGCTCCTGGTGCAGGGGCCGCACACCGTTGCCCGAGCCGGGCGAGGGGAGCGCGCTGTTGAAGTCAGGGATGCTGGGGGCAAACTTGTTGACCACTCCTTGCAGCTGCTCCATGAGGGAGCGCGGCTGCAGAGGCAGGTTCTTGGGGGACTGCTCGGGCAGGAAGAGGTGGGTCTCCTCCACCGTGGCCGGCAGCGGCGGCGTCGTGGCCACCCGCCTGTGCACCACCATGGAAGGGCTGCTGGGCTGTGTGAAGCGGATGGGCTCGCTCTCCTGTTCTTCCACCACGTTGTACAGAGTCTTACTGCTGATGTCGGAAAAAGTCAGGCTCTTGCCTTGGCCATGGAAGCTTTTAGTGAGGGGTTTGATCACTGCGGTCTGATTGCACCCAGCCTCCTGGCTCTTCACATGCACTGAAAGTCTGTGCCACATGTGTTGTCCCTTGGGAACTTCGCTTCCACCTGGTTCAGACCATGACACAGACTTTCCATTAGAACTATGAATAAAATAAAGATGGGTTTATTTGCATTTACATTACGCACACATGGGCAATATAACAAACAAGCCTACAGAAATATTGGCTCCTTTGCTTCATTAACCATCTCCCCCTCCACCCCCAGTTCTTCATGTCCTCCCAGAAGGAAGCAGAGAAAAATACTGCAGAGGGAAGAAAGAATGTCTCTTAACAGTAGCAGTTACGGCCATTTTCATCCTCCTGGTTGCCCACCCCACAGCTGTGGAAAGCCCAATGCACAGGAAGGATTCAAGGAAAGTTGGATGTGTTTAGAGGGCTCTATTTTGGTTTGTATCTAGGTTCATTCACTGTACTTTGCAGGGGGAAGAAAAGAAAACAAGTTGCAGGGAGAGCTTTAATTAAGTCTGTTTTACAGTTTATAGGAAATATTTCCAAACTGTTGGAAGAAAAACAACCCACAGTCTTAGCTTTTGGCACACGGAGTAGCAGGAGGAGCTGTTAATGACTCCCCCTTTCCTTGTCATTCCCTGTCCCCCAATCACACTTTGAAATACATCAGCTACTACAGAAAAGAAGGTGGCCCAGGGCCTCCTTCAGGTAGGAGGCAAAGTACACTGAGCTCCTCTGGCTGCTCATTCAGTCTGTTGGCCACCTCTTGCTTGCACATGCACGACTCAGGCTACAGAGAACATTCCGATCCCCTGAGCTTCTTTTGCTGTAGGGACTCCTCGTTGTGCAGTTAGGGCAGATCAAATGCAACTCTTCCCAAGCAAGTGTTATTTACAAACAAGGAGAAAATCCTGGGACTTAACACAGTTGGTTTGTGTGGGTGGAGGAACAAGCAGCAACATGACCACAGTGAGTCGAACCCTCCAACTCCTCATGTGGCTTAGCTCCCTTTGAAATGCTAGGGTGTTTGGCTGAGTGAGAACCTGAGCGTTAAGACTGTATCTCAGGAACCACAGTGTTTGTTTGTTGTTTGTTTTACTTTCCCTGCACTTTTGCAGGAAACAGCACAGGTTCTCCTCAAAGCAGGTAGGGCAGAGAGCTGAATGCTATGGAAGAAGACCAAACAGTTGTTTAATTGTAGGTCAAGCCAGTAGACATCATTCACAAATTATAAAATATATCACCTGAGTAGAAACCTAAGACCAGAGAGAAATTTTGAGATTACCTACACAAAGTAGCCTTATCTCAGGGTTTCATCCCTCAGGGGGCAAAGGGTTACAAAGGACTAAATTTTGGGTTCTGTGATTGCAGTGCAGGTGGGAGGCAATACGGGTGGGAGGTTGGCATGGTTGTGCTGCCTGTCGGTATTGCACACACCAAAGGAGATCACTTGCCTTGAGTGCAACCTCTGCTATCTGCCTAGTTTACTTTTCCGGATCGAACTCCAGTCCTCCTCATTTTCAGGGAATAAATAATTTCCTGTTGATTTTTTATAAAAGTTAGTGACCAACTTTGAAAGCTTGGAGAAATTGGTACAATTTAGATAGTCTTGTAAATCTGGCAAGAGGGACAACGAAATATACATAGGCACCTTTCTGCTGAGTAATAAATATTGCTGGAGAAAAGAAAAAAAGAAGTTGAGATGTATCCAAGCTGTGAAGGTCAGCTCCAGTGCTGGACTCCAACACCGGATCTGTGGCTCAGCATCTCTGGGAAGTGGCCAACAAGAGAAGGGCAATCTAAAAGATTCATGTGTCTCCAAAGCATGTACTTGGTAGGATCTGGAGCTGTTTGGATTTAGAGCTTTCACCTAGGGGAGAAAAAAGTTCTTGCTGAAGAATGAAACCTCTATATTATATTGATCAATGAAAAGATAAAAATGAAGATTTAGAAGCATTCCAATTTTGATCAGAATTATCTGTGATATGACATTTTTTTGAAGTTTTATAAAGATAAGTAAATGAATGTAACCACTGGAAGTAAAAGATTTTTTAAAGTCACATTTTAACATACCAAGATTTACAAACTCTTCACATAGAAATGTGTTTTTTCTCCTTGCAGCTCAAAAAAAGCCTCTACTTGTAGACATTAACATAAGTCAAGTGCTTTCACACTGTATTTTGCTGATGCTTTAGCTCACAAACACTGCAAAAGGCTTTTCTGAAAAAAGCCCATGATGATTACCTGCTGCCTATTATGCTAAGTCCTCTTCAGCAACACTTCTTTGTATCTAGCTCTGGTACATTATCCCACTTTGGAATGAAAAAAACCTCCTCACACCATCTGTTTACTCCTTACCTCATTTTTTTTTTCCAAGATTTTGTATTTGGCAAACACAGGCAAACACTGCTATTCTAAGGAGCTGACTACCTCTTTTTTGGATAAAACTTCCCCTTCTTCTGTTTGTTATCCTGCCCCTCACTCTGAAGATCTTCTTTTTGGACTCCCTTCTTCCACAGCATGCTCCATCATGTGCTTAAGCGAGCCCAAGCCAGCAGCGGCACTCCATTCCAGTTACACTGAGACCACAATATCCAACTGTAAGCAAACCGCTCATTCCAGATCCTCCTGTTCCTGAGGTGCTCCAGGAGGAAAGCCGGTGCTGCCAGAGTGCCTCGCCTCTGCTTGCCAGGGCTTATTGCTCCCAATGCTGTTCGCTTTGAGCCACGGGACCTCTCCTGGGGGGCATGGCCACCATTTGATAGGTGAGCATCACCTTCTTTATGAAGGAAGAATCAATGGGAAAAGGCAAAAATCAGAATAATCAACTTGTTGAAATGGGAGGAGGGATGTTTTTTTCCATATAAAGGCAGGAGAGAGCATCAAATCAGATCGCAGTTGGGCTAATGAAAACATGATGCTCTCTTGCTTGACAGGGAGATGAGACTGACTTTTCTTCTATTGATTTTACCAATAAAAAAGATACTCATTTCATGTCCACTGTGTATTTATTTAGCTCCTCTAACTTCCTCCCTGTTTGTTTKTTTTTTTTTGGTAGAGCTTTCTATGGGATTTAGACTTTATGCTGACTGCTCAGAAATGATGCAAATTCTACTCCTAGAAAACTAATGAAGTTCTTTCTTCCTAAGAATGAATGAAACTAATGAAGTTTCTTCTTTCCTAAGAAAACTAATGAAGAAGAGCAGGTGATCAGTGCTTGAAAGGGCAGTGTGACATTCCTCTGGCAGTGAGTATGGGATTTAAAAGGATGGTCTTAATTTCACCTGGGGAATCAAGTGAGGCAAAATGATACTCTGAAACTTTTCACAAAAAAAGACATTACAGATGATCCATGATTTGACCCCAAGACTTCTTCCTTCCCTTGCTGTCTTTTGTCAAGAAGCGAATGAAAGTGTAGGATGCTGATTTTATAATCAAAGCCAGCTATGAGGAAGAAATGTCTCTTTTGCCTGGTGTATGATCCATCAACACAGACTGCAGCATAGATCTCAGTGCAGGGGGCTCTGGTTTAATTTAAGTATTCCACCACCAGCAGGATCCTTTTGTGGAGTTCATAAACTGATGATGAAGATATTACTCTCACTGATAGCCTTTCACCCCTGAATTACACCACTGTAGCCCCACAGCTCTTTTCAGACAGATAGATCCAGCCAAGAAAATGCAGGCATGCTTAGATAGGATTGAGCACAGTGCCTTGCTATAAAACTTTGAAGACAACTCCTTAGAGTCACAAGGGAGCTTAAGGTTTATAGCAAAATCTATCCAATGTAACTCCTGAAGTCTAACTTCTTCATATCCTTCCATCTAGCCCAAATATTCAGATGTGTTCGTGGATATCTTATCAACTTATAAAGGATGGACTTTCTTGTGTTTTATAGGTAAGGAAGTGCATTGAGATTAGCTGCAGTTTCTCAGTTTTCACAACTGCTTTTTCTAGGCTTTTCATATCTGGGGGAAATACGTAACAGTATAGTTCTTCTGTGGGATTCTCTTAGTTATCTGAGTTCCCTGGACAGGTCTGTCTGTCACTTCTCTTCTTTGCTAATTATAGGTGTTGTCTTTAACACACGCATCAACCTTTACAGCATACTCTCTGCATAAGACTGATGATTACAGACACTAAATAACCTAGTAAGGAACTTCAGACCTTAACAGCTACTTGAAGAAAGACTTAAAGTGAAGACATGAACCAGTGGACTAAGGTTATCGAAGTACTGCCCATGCAGCTCTGGTCCTGATTATTTCTCACTAGTGAAGCTGTGGCCTGAGACCCAGAATGCAGGGAACTAAGTGAATTTTCAGTCCTGTGTGCCTGAACCCACGTCTCTTTTGCTCAGATTGTTTTACACATAGCAATATGTAAATAACACCATGTGAAATGCTTAAACAGTACAATACTTACAGGGGGCTTTGATTAGGTTAACTTTAGAGAAGAACATATTGGGAAAACAGCTCATTGTCTAGGCAACAAGGTGCTTGTCCCTGGAGAAGCCGTCAGGCAAAGTGCTTGTCAAAGAGCTCTTCTAGTTTAAAAGGAAGGACAAAAGTAGGGCAAAAGAAGCAGCCTGTCCAAAAGCCTTGCACGCTGCAAAGTCTTTCTCAGCCCAAACAGCATTTTTTTCTCATGGGTCCCAGGCTAAGAAAGCCAGCAGAGAAGTTCCTGTCCTGCTTAAAGCAGGGCAGTTACCATCAACAAGCTTTCTGTCGCCTTTGCAGTCACATAAGCAGCAGTAATTTGCCTGAACGAAGCTTTGCCCTAGTTCCCAGGAGCCGAGCTAACCAGTTTAAACCTCAAGGCTAGTGCCTGTGCTCCAGTGCACTGCAAATGCTTCACTGGTGTCTTCAAGATCTCTTGCATTATTGTATGCACTTCTGCAGAGCCACCGAATTTGATTAAGGGCATAAACTGGTTTAAACTCAGCGTAGTAGTGTCTCCCTGTGCTGAATGGGACCATCTTCTCAGGGCTATTCAGCGAGCTGCAGTCGGCACCTCTACCCTTCAGTAACTGAGCAAGCTGCTTGGGTTAGCATGTTCCTGCAAGTGCAGTTATTTGAAGCATTGCTCCCAGGGATTTGTCTGCTTTTCTAACCCAGCATTAACCTCCCTGTGG